ACCATGTTTGTAGGGGCAGATAGAGTGAAGGTTGCCAGGATTCAGACACTGAAGGCTGAACTCGAATCTGTGAGCATGAAAGAGACGGAGAGTGTTGATGACTTCACCGGAAAAGTAATCAACACAGTCAGTACATTACGCACCCTGGGAGACAAGATAGAAGAGTCTTACGTAGTGAAGAAATTACTTAGGGCTGTGTCATCCAAATTTCTTCAGATTGCCTCCACACTTGAGCAATTTGGAGATTTGGAAACAATGTCCATCGAAGAGGTGATCGGAAGACTCAAGGCATACGAAGAACTCATGAAGAGTTCAGGTGACAGTGACGATCGAAAGCTCTTGTTAACTCACAAAGAATGGTCAGATAAAAACAAAAAGAAATCGGATGGAGGCAAAACAAATCGGGGTGGTTTTGGAGGTTCACGAGGACGGGGCAGTGGTAGAGGAAGAAACGGTGGTGGCCGTGGTGGTCGTGGTGGCAGAGGTGCTTCACATCACCAGAAAGAAACCAATCCCAGTGCATCGAGTAGTCATGATAAAAGTGACATTCAGTGTTATAATTGCCAAGAGTATGGGCATTATGCAGCTGAATGTAAAAACCCACGAAAGGAACGAAGTCATGAAAGCAACCTGGTACAAGAGCTTCATGATAACGAGCCTGCCCTTTTGCTTTCAACATACGAAGATGGAAGCTTAGTGTTTCTGAATGAATAGAATATCAGCCCTCAATTGAGAACCCATGGTAACTATCAGAAGTCATCTTGCACGTGGTACCTGGATACAGGCGCCAACAATCATATGACTGGGGATAAGACTAAGTTTAGAAGCTTAAACGAGTCAATTCATGGCTTTTTGAAATTCGGTAATGAGTCAAAGGTGAGAATTGAAGGCAAAGGCTCTGTAGTCTTTAAATGCAGGGATGGAGGGTGTCGAAAACTAAATGAGGTTTACTACATACCCGATCTATATAGCAACATCATTAGTCTGGGCCAGTTAGCAGAAGGTGGAGATGAGATCAAGATCAAGGATCCATTCTTATGGGTTCATGACTCAATTGGAAAGCTACTCATGAAAGTGAGAAGATCAGCCAATAGACTCTACAGAATAGAGTTAGAAGAGAAGCTACTACAGTATGTCTCGCTGCAGAATCCGATGATCCAACATGGCTATGGCACAAGCGAATGGGGCACATAAACTTCAATTCAATGAAGCAAATGATTGATAAGAAGATAATCGAAGGAGTGCCACAGATAAAGATTCCCTCACAACCTTGTGAAGGCTGTCTGGTGGGAAATCAAGCAAGGAATTCATTTCCAACTCAAACAAACTTCAAGGCAAAGAAAAAGCTTGAATTGATCCATGGTGATTTATGTGGGCCAGTTACTCCTCCAACACCCTCTGGGAACAAATACTTCATGTTGATTGTTGATGACTTCAGTAGAGTAATGTGGGTGCACCTAATGAAGTCTAAAGATGAAGCTCTACAAGTGTTTAAGAACTTTAGAAGCAAGGTAGAGACTGAAACAAGGGAGAAAGTGAAAGTGTTCAGAACCGATCGTGGAGGAGAATTCCTATCAAATAAATTCACTAAGTACTGTGAAGAAACTGGGTTGGAGAAACATTACACGTCTCCATACTCTCCACAACAAAATGGAGTAGTAGAAAGACGTAATCGGACTGTATTGGAGATAGTAAGATGCAATTTGAAGACCATGACGATGCCTGATGTTTTATGGGGTGAAGCAGTAGCACACTCTGTTTATGTTCTAAACAGAGCTCAAACGAAGGCCCTGAAAGATTCGACTCCATATGAAATGTGGACTGGGAGAAAGCCACATATTGATCATCTAAGGGTATTTGGATGTGTGGCTCATATGAAAATCGTGAAGGGGCACCTGAAGAAATTAGAAGATAAAAGTATTCGCTTGGTTCATCTTGGAATTGAAAAAGGATCGAAGGCATATAGGCTACTAGACCCAGATACGGGGAAAGTGTACGTGAGTCGTGATGTTGTATTCGAAGAAAATCGTAGTTGGACGTGGGAGAAGAGTGTAAAGATCAAGGCGACACCAGGAGTAAGCTTCACCGTCGAAGGCTTTGATCTCGACGGCGAAGTCTATAATGACGATGGAGAATGGGTACCGGACACACCAGATCAAGAAATTGGATCAACCTCCATTTGGACCAATTGCGAGCAGTCAAACAGGTCGGGTCACCCACAAACAAGCCCATCGGGTAGCCCGATACCGTCAAATACCCCAAATACCCCAATCACACAAAACTCTCCCATTACGATTGATTCATCGACGGAGTCAGCGAGCACCACCTCTAGCTCAACTGGTGGTGGTGCCCCAAAGCGCTTCAGGCTGCTTACATATCTATATGAAAGCACGGATGAGATTCACATACCCCCAGAAGAACTCATGATGATACGAAACGATGAAGAACCCACATCGTATCTTGAGGCTAGTAGAAAAAGGGAATGGCAAGAAGCAATGGATGCAGAATTAGCTTCGATCGAAAGAAACAACACTTGGAGTTTGGTTGATCTCAAAGAAGCGCAAGGCTATCGGATTGAAGTGGGTATTCAAATTGAAGAAGGATCCAAGTGGAAAGATCGTCAAGCACAAAGGCAGGATTGTTGCGAAGGGATTCGTCCAAAGCATGGAATTGATTTTGACGAAATGTTCGCCCCTGTAGCAAGAATTGAAACAATCCGTCTCATCCTAGCACTAGCAGGTTCGAATGGGTGGAAAGTTCATCATCTGGATGTCAAATCAGCGTTTTTGAATGGGAAATTAGAAGAAGAGGTCTACGTTTGTCAACCAGATGGTTATCAGAAGAAAGGTCAGGCTCATAAGGTGTACAAATTGTCTAAAGCCCTCTACGGGCTCAAACAAGCCCCTAGGGCTTGGAATGCTTGCCTGGATCGACATCTAAAGAGTATTGGTTTCACGAGGTGTGCTCATGAGTACTCAGTCTACATCAAGAGGTATCATGAACACATCCTGATTGTAGGAGTGTACGTAGATGACTTACTCGTAACAGGAAGCTGTCCTAAAAGTGTTCAGATGTTCAAAAAGGAGATGAACACCAAGTTTGAAATGAGTGATCTGGGGTTTCTAACTCATTACTTGGGAATTGAAGTGAACCAAAAGGAAGACGGGATTACACTGAAACAGGAATCCTATGCCAAAAACCTGCTTGTCAAAACATGTATGCAAAACTGTAATCCCACAAAGACTCCTATGGAACATAAGCTCAAACTCCGGAAAGAAGATGGAAGTGAACTGGTGAATCCCACACAATATCGAAGCATAGTTGGTGGTTTAAGGTACCTAACTCATACCAGGCTAGACATATCTTTTGTTGTTGGAATTGTAAGCAGATTTATGGAGAAGCCAACAATGAATCACCTTCAAGCAGTGAAGGGTATATTAAGATACATAAAGGGCACTTTGAACTTTGGTCTGAAGTACTTAAGAGGAAAGGGAAATGTCACACTAAATGGGTACAGCAAATGATGTCAATGATCGAAGAAGCACAAGAGGCATGGTGTTCTACGTGAATGAGAACTTGATCACATGGGCATCAGAGGAGCAGATGTGTGTGGCACTCTCTACCTGTGAAGCAGAATTTATGGCTGCCACCATGGCAGCCTGTCAAGGAATTTGGCTAAGAAGACTGCTCAGTGAGATAACCGGACAAAAGGTGCCACTTGTTGAGCTGAAGGTAGACAACAAATCATCACTTGATCTAATGAAGAATCCAGTTTTCCATGGCAAAAGTAAGCACATAGATATTCGTTTTCATTTCATCCGAGAATGTATTGAAAATGGAGATATTTCAGTCACTCATGTATGTAGTAAGAATCAGAAGGCAGCTGTCCTAACTAAGTCATTGGGAAAATTGAAGGTTGAGGAGATGCGAAGTCTTCTTGGAGTATTGAAGGTATGATTTCTGAATTAGGGAGGAGAATGATGAAATAATTCAGAAATTGTTTTAATTTTACTGCACGTTTCTAGTTGTTGAATAATTCAAAGCCATGTGGGCTAGGTCCGAGTCTTAAGTTAGTAGGGTTAGTTGCAGATTTTTTAGCATCATTTTGAGTTTAAATAGCTAGTATTGATGTACGTTGAGGCGTGACCTTCTTTTACAATTCACTGAATAAAAGCTCTAAGCTTTAAGTAATTTTTGCTCTGTTCCTCTTAGTTACTGTTCCATTGCCAATTCTTTAGTTACAGGCTTGTGAAAAACAGGTAATCCGGGTATCGGGTCGGGTTTGGGTAATTCGGGTATTATACAAAATATATAATTTTTTTTTGAATTTCACCTGAAAATAAATTTAATGAAATAAATACGTTGTGCTTTATTAGTCTTGTTTATAAAAACAAACGAGGCATAAACGAAGTTACTCAAGCTTTGAACATTGAGATTTTTTAGTCAATAATACCTGAGATATCAAGTAATTTTTTAACAACTTAATCTAATCTAATAAGATGTTAAAAAAACAAATACTTAAAGATCTTAATTTAAAAGTTTTAAATGTTTAAGATAATTGTTGCCATAAGTTTTGCCATGTTCTGAAGATTCATCAAGATAATGCGTTTGTTAGTTGCAATAAAAACTATAATCTAGAAAACAGTTAAGTTTTAAAGAACATGATGATATATAAACAATTACTTTTAATATTGTTAGTGTCATATTGTCATAATAAAAGAGATTCATGTTTTACAATAATGATAGTTAGTTTAAGCGTGATCAAATACATGCCACAGAGTACAAGCTCTACGGAAAAAAAAAATAATTCGGGTAATTCGGGTATACCCGAAACCCAACAAACGTACCATTTACCCGACTACCCGAAAAAATTTACCCGATACCCGAAAAAATCGGACGGGTAATTCGGGTATCGGGTATTTTAGACAGGGCTAATTTCAAATATTTTCTCTTAATGAAATAGGTGGTACTATTTCATCCACATCTCCACTATAAAAGGAGGAGAATCCCATACAATATAACAAACGCAAGAGAAAAATCCATCCATATGGAAATCATATCATTCTTCCCTTCATGGTTTCTTCCAGCAACATTATTTCTCTTCCTTACTTCCATCTTCATGAATGTTCTTCGATGGAGGAGTTCCTCCATAAAACTTCCACCAGGCCCTCCGAGGCTTCCTGTAATTGGGAACCTTCATCAAGTGTTTGGTAGTAAAGACAACATCTATCAAAATGTATGGAACCTCTCCCAAACATATGGCCCAATTATGCTTCTTCATTTTGGTACCCAACCATTCATTGTCGTTTCCTCAACTGAAATGGCTACTCAAGTCTTAAAAACTCATGATCAGAAGATGTGTACACGTCCCTACTCTAAGGCTTCCAAGCGACTGTCATTTAACTACATGGATGCTGCCTTCGCACCATATAATGATCATTGGAGGGACATGCGGAAGATTCTGGTATCTGAATTCTTGGGTGCTAAAAGGATTAGATTGTATAAAAATGTTTTGGAGCATGAGATGGAGGTTGTAGTTCGTTCTCTCTCATTAAATTCCTCAAGTACTACAGTAAATCTAGACGATATGTTCTTAAGTCTGGTAAACGATGTCGTGTGTAAGGTTGCATTAGGTGACACCTATAGGGAAAAGACCTTTAATGGTAGAACACTGATGGAGATCGTTGATGAGACCGTAGTCATGCTCCAAGGCTCATTTTCGGATAATTTTCCAACATTTGGGTGGATTTTGGACGGATTAACAGGTTGGAATCGCAGGCTAGACAAGTGTTTTAATGATGTTGATGGCTTTCTCCAAATGGTTCTTGATGATCATCTTGATCAAAAAGATACAAAAACAAGTAATCAAGAAAAAGATTTTGTTGATGACTGTATCTCTCGGTTGACTAGCGACGAAATGAAAGCACTTTTGATGGTAAATTATTTAATTTTCTATGCTTTTGTGGTTTCATTTTGTTTTTTTTTTTTTTTTTCTGTGAAAGTATGTGAATGTGAGCTAATTAACTCAATTCTGAATAAACACCTTAGAATGTGCTTAATGGATCAACCGACACAACTGCTACAACCATGGTATGGGCAATGTCGGACATCGTTAAAAATCCAAGAGTAATGCAAAAGTTGCAAAACGAAATCCGAAGCTGTGTTGGAAGAAAACCAAGAGTAGATGAATCAGATATTAACAAGATGACATACTTGAAAATGGTGGTGAAGGAGTCGCTAAGATTGCATCCGCCTGTTGGATTCTTGATGACTCGGGAATGTATAAGCCATTGTGAGATCGGTGGATATGATGTCTTACCTGGTACGAAGGTCTTGGTAAGTCCATGGGGGATAGGAACGGATTCAAGAACCTGGAAAGAGGATCCAACTGAGTTTCTTCCTGAAAGATTTGAAAATATCCAGGTTGATTTTGGAGGGAAAAGTTTTGAGATGATCCCGTTTGGAGGGGGAAGAAGAGGTTGTCCTGGGTATAATTTGGCTATTTCGACTGTAGAGTTTACGATCGCAAATCTTCTTTACTTGTTCAATTGGGAAACTCCGGTTGGAAAGAATGAAGATTTGGACATGAAATTAGCGGGAGGATTTCCGTTTATTCGTAGGGCAACACCTCTTTGTCTTGTGCCCAATAAGTATAACTAGCAAGACTAGTAAAGTGGTACTTTATCATTTCCTTTTTTCCATTAAACAATATGTTGCACCCATTTTAAAATTTTATGTATTTCATTTCTCTTGTCAATGCTTATTGTAATGTTATTGTTCTTTCTTGTATATTAAGATATTATTTGTAAAGACAGTTAGACAGTGTATAATCTGTATAATATATAGGATATGTGGAATATCAAATCTAGAATGTAAAATTAGCACATTACTTAATCGTTTCTTTCATTTAATCTTATTCTTTCAGTTGTTAAATCAATGGAGCACAAATTTGTGTCGTACAAAATTTTGATCGTTGGAGAGTAAAAAAAGTGGTGTTACTGCAAGGAAAATGGTGAGCACTGTCTTCAATTAGTAATACAAGTCTAACCATGGATGAGATCACCTTATAAACTAGAATTGCATATTTACGAAAAAGAGATCCAAGGACTTCTAAGGATGACATGTACCTAAATTCAAAGGAATATATCTTTAGACCACTCATAGTCTCATACTAATGGCATTGAGTTTTCAATTATAAGTACAAATAAAATATTTATAACAATATAGTAATTTAGAGTTTAAATATCAAAAAAGTATATCAATTTAATCATAAACATTCAAAAAAGTATATCAATTTAATCATAAACATTTAATCTAATTTAATTTTACAACGTAGCATAAGACAATATTAGATAAATTTTAATTTTCTATGTATGCGTTTGTCTTTTTTTTTATAATATATTAATTTCATAGTATTGTATTTATATTAAATTTTATATAAATAATTAAAGTTTTGTTAATATATAAATGAATTTAAAAAATATTAAATTAATGATTGATAAATATGAATTAAATTAATTTAATAACTAAGAAATGATAATCTTTATTTATTTCGGTACAGTTGTGGGCTCACTTTGTATATATGTGGGCTGTGGCCACATATTAGCAAGTTTTTTGTGAAAAGGAAAAAACATGTGGATTTTGGGGGCATTCAGAACTTAAAAGCCACTGTCGTTGGACTTGGTTGGTTGCTCGGTATGTTTCTTGGTATAAAAAAAAATTATATAGCAAAGGCAAAATAAATTTTATAGTCAAGGTGTCAAACTAAAAACATGGTAACAAATACAAAAGCATACAAAATCACAAAAATTGATGTCTTCTAGCATATACTTTAAAGCAATAACATTTATTTATTTACAATAATACAATAAAGAATTTGTAGAAGTTGACTTGCAAATCCATTTAATCGGTTTTGAATCAATGTACTTTAAAGTTACGATTTCAATAGCTCCATATTAAAAAAAAAAAAAAAAAAAAAAAAAAAAAAAACTCCAATCTTAGATGCATCCAATTAAGTTGGGCAAATAGTAGTTTAAACAAAGAAAGATACAGCCCGAAAGGAAAAGACTGAGTGAAAGTTGAATTCTGAAAAAACTAAAATGAACAAAACATTGTAATTTTAGAAATGAACAAAATAGATACTTAATTATAAATCATAAAAGGAAATGAAAAACTATTAGAAATTACTTCAATACTAATGTGATTTCAGAATAAGAAAAGCTTTATAAGTCGGATTGGGAGAAATCAAAAAACATTTCTTTGCTTCATAATATTATGTTAACTTCAGAAAAATAAATGTTTCAACTTAATTCATTGCTTCACAATCATGAGCAATCATCATATATCACAAAACTTATACATTCAGAAAACAAATCTCACTACATCTAAAATCACAATTTCAGAAAACTAATTTCACTACATCAGAATTCACAAATTCAGAACTATAGTTATAAAAAATCAAAAAACTTATGATTTCAGAAAACCGATTTCACTACATTAGAAATCATAATTTCAAAAAACATCACTTAACAGAAAAAAGAAAACATAGAATTTCATAAATGTCCGAGAATCAGAATTACAAGCAAAGAAACGGTTCCATAGTAACGTCGCTCAATTTTTTTTTTTCTAATTTGGGAGAACCGGATAAGCAGAGAAGGATAAGTGGAGAATCAATGAAATAATGAATCGATGATGGTGATTAGCACTTATTTTTCCCAAGCGACTCCTCGATTCCATTTTATTTAGGCATGTAATTGTGCGAATTGCGATGCCACCAGTTGATGTTACCAAGAAATCTATTGCCGACTGCTTCAAATTAGGCATACGATTATGCTCTAATTTCTCCCATCGGTTCACAGGTTTAGCTCCACTGCCGGCTGAGATAAAAACATATAATGAACTATACTATATAAAGATAAATTAAATATCCTCCTACATTTTCTTCTACTTATCCTCCTAACGATGTTAAATGTTGACATGTGTCACATGAAATTAATAACATTTTAGTACACTTGTCGCCATTTAACAAGGATATGAGGATGAGTAACTTGTAGCCATTTAACGGGGATATGAGGTCATGAGGATGAGTAGAAAGAAAATATACGAGGATATTTAATTTATCGTGGCCCAGTTAAAATATACATACTATAAGACATGTTGAACCCTTGATACCCGTAGCCCAATGTTGTCATGGGTCATTGCCCAGCTGGCCCCCATTTGGGCTGACCTTGTGTAAGATGGGGAGGGACCAATATAAAACTATAGATATCCATAAGCCATTGCCTGCTTTACCTTATGTTTAGTCTTGTGACATGGTTTTATGATTTTTATTCGCTATTTAGCCTCTTTGATTTTTTCGTCAATTACTTATTTTTATTCTCTTAAAGTGTTGCTAGAATTTAATTTCTTTGTATATAGATAGCAAGTACAACGTTCTTACCACATCAAACATCCTCTAGGGGCAGAAGGAGGTTAAATTTAGGGGCAAGTTTTGGACCATTCGAAAGACATTTTAGAAGCAAAAAAATAAAGCTAAGCTTTTTAGTTAATCAGGTGAGTGGATGATTCTATATAGCTTTTGTTGTAAATAATGATTTTAAAATGTTTATATAGTGATAGGATAAGGTATTATGTGGTAATTCGGAAGAATTCATAAAGAAACGAATTATGTGAGAGTTTGGAGGATCCGTTAATAATAGTGTTGTATGTGTTGGATTAGGTTTCTAAGGTCATAACTATAATTGGTATAAACTTGAATTGATGGTATAAGGGTCCTTTTGGATTGCCCTCAAACTTAGCAATTGGACAAAATAATTTTGGAGAGAAAGTTGATTTATTATTTGATTAATAAATTAGAATAAATGATTTGTTAATATATTGTGAATAACATATAAATTAGAAATAGTGATATTTATGTAACATCCTGTTTCGGATCGTCTGAGATTAGGGTTTGTGGGCTGCAACCCGGGCATGAGGAAGTCTCGGGGTTGCGACGAGTTGCTAGAAGCGTAGGGCATCTCGTCACCTTTCCGTGGGTATGAGGTTCATTAGAATCGGAGTAATATCAAGGAAGCTATGGAAGTTTGAAGTTTTGGCAGGATAAGTCCCTCATTTTAGAAAGGTGGCAGCTGAGTACGTTGGGCGTACGTGTGAGTACGCTTAGCGTACTCGTGTGCGTGATTTTTAAGCGGAGCCACCTAGTACGTTGGGCGTACCAGAGGGTACGTTGGGCGTACTAGGCACATAGTGGAAACCCTAATTTTGGATGTGTCCCTATATAGAGAATGAGATGGCCTCATTCCTGGCCACCATCCTCAGTCAATAAACCCTCTAAAACCCTAACCCTTCGTTCATGGAGCTTGTGAGTACATTTGAGAGCCTTAAGTGATTTTGTGTGTTCTTGGAGTAAAGAAGGAGCTTTGGAGAAGAAAGGAGTGAGAAGTCCAGGCCTTGGATCTGAGCATATCTGAGTTGGAAGCTTCATATAGAGGTATAAAGCTTCAAGCTTTCTCCCTCTTTTGTTTTGAGCATCATATTAGAGTATTTTAGGGTTTTGTCCCAAAAGGTGGAGACTTTATGAGATATTGAGCTCCAAAGACTATGATCAACCCCTTTGAGTGTAATTAGTGGTGTAATGTCATAAAAATCCAATCTTGGTTGTTGGAATCAAGCCATGCATGAGTTATGAGTTTTTTGAGATAAGAGGGTGAGTGTTTTGGGTGTTTGTGACCATTTCAGCCATGCAAAGGCTTAAAGTCACTGACTTTATGGAGTAAGAGCCATTAGGGAGTCCAGATTTGGGATTTAAGTTAATGTCTTAATTGATTAAGACCAAATGAGTAGAAAAAGTGAATCTGGGGAGTACGCTGAGCGTAATTCTTGTACGCCACGCGTACTGCCCCAGTGTCCCCGATGGCCAATCTGGATTCGTGAGTACGCTAAGCGTACCAAGGGAGGTACGCCCCGTGTAACCTCACTGTGGACTTTTAGGCTAAGTCTCATTTTGGGCCTTGAGTGTTGGGCCTGGAGTTTGGGTTTGTTACAATAGAGTCTTGGACCAGAGGAATATATATATATGTGCTTTGGGCCCTTGAGTTGGGCTTGCCGTTTAGATTTGAGAGTTGGGCCTCGGGAGAGCCCATTTATTATTGGGCCTTGGTGGGCCCAATGGGTTTTAGGCTATTGATGGGCTGGTTAGTGGACTACCTTTGGACCTAATGAATGAGAGTTTGGACTTAGTTCCTAATTGGGTTAATTGTGGGTTTGGCACAGAGTTAGTGGCCGGTGCGTAGCAGCAACGTTTATAGGGGCTGTTCATCATCCGAGGTGAGTCTTCTCACTATACTTTACCTAGAGTGGTAATTCTTATGTGACCGGAGGGTCCTATGTGTTTATATTGAGTACTGTGATATCCTGCCTTATGTCTATGTGATTTATGTTGTGTATTATTCTGTGCTTACTGAGTTAGGATCGGAGGGTCCACCCGAGTTATGGGACTGGAGGGTCCCACTGAGACACATTGACCAAAGGGTCTTACTGTGTTATAGCCTCGAGTGGCTAATGAGATGTGTGTGGTATTTTGGGGAACTCACTAAGCTTCGTGCTTACCGTGTTATGTGTTATGTGTTTCGGGTTTTTCTCAGGATCGCGGGAAGGCACCAGCTCGATTGTACACACCAGAGAAAGAGTTATGTTTTTAGGATCTTGGATTATTAATCAAACAATTATGGAGATGTGTTTTGTAAATTAAATAAATGAGATTTTGTGAAATGAGTTATGAGAATTATATTATTTTAAAATGAAAATTTTGTTTGGAAATTTA